ATTAGGTCATGAAAAATGGTATTCATCGCGCGTTGATATGTAGCACCAGCGTTTTTTAGACCGAATGGCATGACTACCCACTCGTAGGTTCCAAGTGCCCCCGGGCAGCGGAAACCAGTTTTATGAGCATCGGCCTTGGCAATAAATATCTGGTTATAACCGGCATGTCCATCCATGAATGACAGCATGTCATGATTAGCCACGGTGTCGATTAGCAAATCTGAAATTGGCATGGGATATGCATCCTTGGGTGTTGCCAGATTCAAATTTTGAAAATCAATGCAAATGTGTAGGGCCTCATTTTTCTTGAGCACTGGTACGATATTCGTCAACCACTCGACGTATCGAGCGGTTCGAAATACCCGGCATTTAACAGTCGAACAATTTTGTCTTTTATGCCAAGCTGTACTTTGGTCGAGAAGGACCGAAGACAGGGGGATGGTAGTGAAGTCATGGGCACCGCAGGTGGTGGTGTTGAAGAATGAATTGGTTGGTGGGTTCGTGACGCTTTGCGGATGGAACTTGGTCCTGGAAGCAGTGGTTGCGGGGGTTTCGATGATTGCTTGGCCGCTGCACGCAGAGCAACATATGAACATGAATGTTTTGGCGACGGACATGGAAATGGCATTTGCTGTGGAGCAAAGAGATGAGGAAGATGGGTTTGTGATGGTTTGATTTAGGAAGACGCCTTCGAAAATCTCGTTGTAATCGTCGACAGAAAGTCGAGACATTGAACTTGGATGCAATTGCGGAGGAAGAAGAAGGTGCACAAGTTGAATTACATGTTTACCCTTTAATTAACAGACATTTAACGGAAAAATTACTTTCGGACTAAATTTGCTAACGGACTAGCACCACGAGGGTTTAAATCCTAATTTTTTTACCACGAGGGCTATCTTCCGATTACCTTGTCACCACAAGGACCATTTATCCGATTAAGCCTTACTCTTATAACTAGGAATCTTAAATACACAAAATTCGAGATAAACCCTAATATTTTGCTTTTGGCAATAAATGTACTAACAAGTAACAAGTTGTGATCATTGAATCCCATAAATATACAAGAAAATGTCGATTAAAGTCTTTGTATCTCCTTTATATAGTTTACTAATTTGCTTGAATTGTATATCGTCAGCCCATTTTAGAAGTTTTTACACCGAAAAATAAAGAAATTAATTAAGGGGATGAACTACGAGTACAATTAAGTCTGAGATGAAAATAAAAGCATGTCTAGATTCCGGAAAAAAGAGAGAAGAGAACGCTCCTTATGCGAGTGCCCTGAATCTTATGATAAAAACAAGGGAACTTTAACGAAAAGCTCTCGGTACTGTTCACTTTAACGAAAAACCACATTTTTATACTAAAAAGTCAATCTTGATACTATTCACTTTACTCCTTATTTTGTCCTTATCGTCAAAACTCAAAGTTTTCAAGCTATTTTCATTAGTTTTCCTTGAAAACAAAGGAAAACTAATGAAAGGGCTTCAAATCTTTACATTTAAATAAAAAACCATCTACTAACTTTATTTAATGATAAGGACAAAAGAATAAAAAATAAAAAAAAATCCATAAAGAACTCAACTTGCGCTGGGCTCTTTAAGATTCATATGTTGATCTGTATATTCTATGTCAGTCATGATTCGTACTTTGTGAGATTGGTAGGTTTTGCTACACTCATAAGTTGAGGCTTCAAGTCTCTGTAAGCATTCAAAGTTCGTAATATAACGAGCTGCGCGCATCCCCCCATATAACTTGATACAACAAATCCTTCATCCAAACATCTCAGAAACAAGAGAGAGAGAAAATGGATGCATTACCAACACCAGCCGACTTCAAACTCAACAACATTTGTTGGAATTTGTCGTCGGGGTTGGGGTTCGTATATATGCGCAGAAGTTGCAAAGGTTGAAACCCTTGAGTTTCAACGTAAAATTAGCATCACAGAGTGCAACATGGTAAGATTAAAACCCAGAAATTCAAAAGTAAGTAGAGACCTCACATGTGTTTGATTTTGAGACCTTCAAGCTCTCGGGCATTAATGGTGTCGAGGTCCACATTGCACCGATCCCACATGTAAGACCACCATTGTGATCTTTGCATCCCAGAGACTTCAAATATGCTAAGTTTGGGGTTGATTTGTGAAGGTAAGTGGGAGAGAGAGCTTTCTTCTCTCGATGCTAAAGAGATTGAGTTCGAGAGAGGCGGGAAGAATGTAGTACCGTTAAATTTCATAAACAGTGTAGTAAGTTTCATAAACAATGTCATAAGTTTTCATACATAGTGCAGAAAGTTTCATAAACAGTGTAGAAGCTTCATAAACAGTGTGAAGACACGTGCGTCCGTGCATCAAAATTTTTAAATTTTTTTTTAATATTAAAATTATGTCCTTTTCATTAAAATTTAAGTTTGTTTTTTGTTCTTTTTGTTAAAATTTAAGGGTTTTTCATTAAAATTTAAGTCTTTTTAATTAAATAAAGTTATAGCATGGTTTTTTTATTAAAATAAACTTTGTCCAAGCTCTTTCATGAAAGTTCCCTAAAAACAATTGAAGACACTCCTAGAAGGAAAAAAAAAAATCATTACTTGATTAATTTTTATATGACGAGATAAAAGAATAAAATAGGGTATCGTACCCTTTATTAAAAGAAAAAAAAGGGTACAAATACTCTTTAATTTTAAGGATAATTGTAATGGAAATTCACGCATAATATTTTACCTTAACAATGTAATATGACATTCAATGCAAAAGTCAATTTTAGAAATTTTGTGTTATATTGATTATAACCTTACCGCATGTATTCGCTGACTGAAAACTTTGACGATTATAGTGCAATCTTACTTAATTTTCTTCTAATTCAGACGTTGATTGTTAATATGAATAACGGGATTAGATGGGATTGAGGAAAAGGAACCTGATGTCCTAGTGTTTCCAACATTAATGTTTCATAATTAATACACTTTTTACTTGTTATACCATCAACTGTTATTATTAAGTGCATTTAGACTTTCACATATTTAGTTTTGCCATAATAATTCTCATGTTATTTACTTTTAATTTGAATCTATCGCAATTGTAAATTTAGTTTGATTTGATCCTTGTTGGAACGACACTTACTTATTACTATATTACATGAATGATATTGTGTGCTTGCAATTATCACACAAAGTTTTTGGCAACGTTGTCGAGGATCAAGTTTAATTTAAGGGAACTTTAATGAAAAGGGCTTGGACTAAGTCTATTTTAACAAAAAAACCATGCTATAAACTTTATTTAATGAAAAAGAATTAAATTTTAATGAAAAACCCTTAAATTTTAATAAAAATGACAAAAACACTTAATTTTTAACGAAAAGGACACAATTTAAAAAACAAAAAACAAAAAAAAAAAAACAAAAAACCTGACGCGTGCGCAGTACATATACACTGTTTATGAAACTGAATACTGTTTATAAAACTGAACACTATTTATTAAACTACACTATTTATGAAACTGCACTATTTATGAAACTGAATGGTACTATACTATTTATTAGTTCAATTTCATAAATAGTGTCTAGTTTTTTGTCCACTTTCACAAAATGATGTCTAGTTCTTGATCATGTTTCATAAATAATGTCTAGTTATTGGGCCCAGTTTCATAAATAATGTATAGTAATTGGTACAATTTCATTAATAGTGTCTCTTTCTTGGTCCGGTTTCATAAATAGTGTCTAGTTATTGGTCCAACTTTCATAAATATTGCCTATTTCTTGGTCATAATTCATAAATATTGTCTAATTCTTACTCCAGTTTCATAAATAGTGTATAGTCCAATGTTCAAATTATGCCTAATTCTTGTTTTCGTTTCATAAATAGTATCTACTTATTGATCCAGTTTCATAAATGATGTCTACTTATTGGTCTAATTTCATTAATAGTGTCTACTTATTGGTGAAGTTTTATAAATAGTGTTGAATTCTTGGTTCAGTTTCATAAGGTTTGAAACTTAGACCCTTATTGGTCAAGTTTTATAAATAGTGTTTAATTCTTAGTAATTATATTTAAAAATCTGTTTTCAATTACCAAATTAAAATTTCCTCACTTTTTTCATACCTACAATAATAAATGTAGCTTTCCACCCTATTTCTTGAGCTTAGGTGTCATCTTCGAGAAATTTTTCCTTGTGCCCGTAACACAAATGATATATTACATGTTATTATATATGTGTGGTGGAAAATTTTATTTTTTTATGTTATTAATTTTTTAAAACAAGATTCTCACAACTTGTATGGAGTGTACCATCCCGTGTTTTGGGCACATTGAAAAGTTTCTCATCATCATGACTACTATTAGAAAACAACACCACAAAAATAAAACAGGAGAATGTAATTCAATTCGAAGTTTTTTTTTTAATTTCTATTGCAAAAAAAAAAAAAAACTATTAATGTAGCTGAAATGATGGGACAAAAGGTAGGAGAAAAAAAGTGAACTGGGGGGTGGGGGGATACGTGCCTAGCGCTAGTGGGTTTGTTATGTTTTTTTTTTTTTTAGTCTTTTGTCCTTATTATTAAAATAAAGTTAGTGGGTGGTTTTTGATTAAAATGTAAAGATTTGAAGCCCTTTTCATTAGTTTTATTTTAATTGAATATATCAAGTGATTGAGCAACTATGTTACTCTTCTTTTAAGATTATAAAATATGTTGGAGAAGCAAAGAGGGGGATGTAGGTTACGGATCAATAGAGTTCATAATTCCTAAACAGAGCGTATCCTTCCATCTTCTCTACATATGCCCAATTCCTTGTCGTATTTTTATTTTCTTTTTAATGATCCAGTGAAACTATGGAGTTAATGCTATTTTAGGAATGCTAAGGCTAAATAATTGATCTTGTGTGCTAATACTAAGTGTGTGGCAGGTACTATACCATATGAAATTGGCGATCTTCAAAGTCTACAGTATTTGTTACTCGATCTTAACAATCTCAACGGCCCCGTTCCATCTACAATCTTCAATATGTCAAAGATGACAGTACTTTCACTTGTTGGCAATCAACTCTCAGGTAGCCTCCCAGCAGACATAGGCCTTGGAATTCCGAACCTACAAAAGATATATTTAGGAATCAATAAACTCAGCGGAGTCATTCCCAATTTTATCTCCAATGCTTCTAAGCTCAATGTTGTAGACATTACCGACAACTCATTTTCCGGGTTTATTCCTAACAAACTATGTGCCTTAGCAAAGCTTGAGTATCTTGGCTTATACCAAAATAATTTGAAGGTTGACACTTCAACTCCAGAAGTAAACATCTTTTCTTGTTTAGGTAATCTTAGAAATCTTCAGGTATTGATCCTGGGACGTAATCCGTTAAACGCTCCTCTTCCTATTTCTTTTCAGAATTACTCTGCATCGCTTCAAAAAATTTCTTTAAGCGAATGCAAATTGAAGGGTAGCATTCCCAATGATTTTGGCAACTTGAGCAGCTTGATATCCATAACCCTGGCAGGCAATCAATTGAGCGGGTTAATTCCAACTTCTATAGAAAGACTAGGGAGTCTCCAAGGTTTGTTTTTGCTTTATAACAAGTTGCAAGGACATATTCCCGATGAACTTTGTCAACTAAACAAACTAGCTGTATTAGATTTGAGTCAGAATCAACCTTCTGGTTTTATACCTTCTTGCTTAGGTAATCTATCTGCAAATCTTAGAATTCTGTCGTTAGCGTCCAATTTGTTAACTTCTACACTGCCATCTACATTGTGGGAACTTGAACAAGTCTGGTTCTTGAACTTGTCATCAAATCTTCTAAATGGATCTCTGTCACAAGATATCGGCAAGTTGAAAATTGCGTCATCCGTGGATCTATCAAGCAACAATTTATTTGGTGTCATACCAAGCAGCGTTGGGGATCTTCTGGATTTAACTAATCTCTCCTTGGCAGATAATAATTGTGAAGGCCCTATTCCCAGTTCGTTCGGCAAATTGAAAGGCCTGATACTGTTGGATTTATCCAACAACAGTTTGTCTGAAGCAATTCCAAGGTCGCTTGAAACACTCTTGAATCTGAAGTACCTGAATTTTTCTTTCAACCAACTGGGAGGGGAAATTCCAGAAGGCGGACCTTTCAAAAACTTCTCTGCTCTATCATTTGTCTCGAATAAAGGCGTTGTGTGGTGCAGCTCGACTCCACGTCCCACCATGCAAAAACAATACACTTCAACCAAATTCAAGGAAGGCTAGTTCATCCAACTTGAAATATATTATTCCAGCAATAATCATAGTAACAATATTCCTAGTAGCCTTTGTGTCGATATTTATACTGCACAGGAAAAAGGAAATTGAAGATGCAACAGAGGCTACCGTGTTACCTCAATCTCTTTGGAGAAGAGTTTCGCACCTGGAACTTCTAAGGGCGACAAATGGATTTAATGATAGTAACTTACTTGGAAGTGGGGGTTTTGGCTCAGTATATAAAGGGACACTCTCAGATGGGATAGATATTGCAGTAAAGATTTTCGATTTGCAGCTAGAAGGGGCTTTCAAGAGTTTTGAGAGGAAATGTGAAACGCTAAGCAATATTCGGAACCGAAATCTTATCAAAATCATTAGCTGTTGCAGCCAATTGGATTTCAAAGCCTTGGTACTGAACTATATGCCTAATGGTAGCCTTGAGAAGTGGTTGTATTCTCATAACTCTTCTTTCAATATCCTAAATAGGTTGAATATAATGGTAGATGTTGCGTTGGTAGTGGAATACCTACACCATGGTTATTCAGTGCCAATTGTCCATTGTGATTTGAAGCCAAGCAATATCCTGCTAGATGATGATATGGCTGCACATGTTGCGGATTTTGGCATTGCAAAACTCTTGGGTTTCGGGGATTCCATGACCCAAACCATGACCCTAGCCACAGTTGGGTATATGGCTCCAGGTGATCTACTTGCTAGTTTAATAACTTTCAATTTTATAATCATGAAGAACTGAACTTCTAACTTTCTTTGGTATATTAATATTGCAGAGTACGGGATGGATGGAATTGTTTCGACGCAAGGGGATGTGTACAGTTTTGGTATTGTAGTCATGGAAACATTCACAAAAATGAAGGCTACGAATGAAATGTTTGTTGATGAAATGAATCTAAAGCAATGGGTTGCAAATTCACTATCATCAGAAGCAATAGCTGAAGTTTGTGGATGCCAATTTATTTGTAACACAAGGGGAAGATCCTGATTTTGCGACTAAGATAGATTGCTCATCGTCCATTATGCGATTAGCTCTTGCTTGCTGTGCAGAGCTACCAGACCAGACGAGAGATAAACATGCAAGAAGCTGCAGCCACACTCAAAAAAACAAAAATCAAGTTTTTTTGCAGGATGCAGCAAGAAGTGCGCACAGTTAAACCGTCCTCTTGTTCGTGCACTTTGATGGAGTTGTTAATTTATGGGTCCTCCTGTATGCATTTTGATTCAGTTTCAGTCCTTATTTGATGCAGTTGTATTTGAAACAATTGTATATTGGCTTGAAGTTTATAGTGGAGAGTCCAGACTGATTGATCAAACATAATTATTTCATCAAGTATCACCTGCGCACTAAAAGTTGTAGCTTGCAATTCATGTTGTCAAAGGAGAAAGAGAAAATAATGCCTTTTGCAGCAAGTATTAAGCCAAACTTGTCTTCTTGATGAATCAAACCAAGCTTCTTGTTAAAGAACAAAGCAAACCCACCCGTGAGTCCTAATGTGCAGTCGAGAAAGAGACTAAGAAAAAACCCCGAGCATGTTCAGCACAAATCACAGAATAAAAACAAGAAAGAAAAAAACATGATCTCTCTGATTTTGAAATTTTATACGATGAAAAAAATGTCATGTCATTGTTACATAAAAAATAGTAATAGGTGCAACTTTATCGTCTTTAATTATATTTTTTGTGTGAGTTTATTGTTGTTTTACATGTGTACACAGTAAAGTTAGGGCCTTAGAAGAAAATTCATCACCTATTATGTTTTGTAAAAGCAACTGTTGGACAATAACCTTGATACCGGAAAATTGATCGCCGATCAGCCGATCGCTGCAAATTTTTGCCGGTCAGAAAAACGTAGTAGAATTGAGTGGTAATTATATAATTATTTTGAGTTAACGTGGTACTTATTGAATTATTTTGGTTGACTATTCTATTAGTACCTAAACTGAAAATATGATATTTTTACTTTTTTTTTTTGACAAAAAAAGGGACACCTCGTGCTTAAATGCAAAAGTTCAGTCTTCCTCTTCACTATTCTGTGTTCACAGTTCACAGCAGCATATTCAAATCCTTCCTCTTCAGTCTTCCCAGCAGCATATCCAAATCCTTCCTCAAAGGTTCGTTCTTTTCCAATTCAATTCTTTTTTCCGCAAATGGGTTTTTTGGGTATTTGAATTGTGTTTCATGTACGATTTCGGGTTGAAAGATTTGATTTTTTTTGTTCATTTGGGGATTCCCAATTGCTTGATTGATTGGTTAATATTGAAACCCTAGGCGTCTGATGCTTCGCCGTTGAACAACGGAAATAGGAGTGGGCCGCCGGCAGTTTTATTGTCTTCCTCCACCTATGTCCACGTGTTTGATAGTCTTCCTCCATCTGTCTCTCGTACTGCTTTTTGCTAGTCTTTATACACACTCCATGTGTTTGATTTAATGCCTCAATGAATTATCTGACGAATCAGTCCCCAGGGGCAATGTGAATCAAAATGAGAATGAAATGGTGGTAATTCTGATTATACCGTTGTTGATGTTGAGGTAGCAAACGAGGTAAGTGAGGGTAATAGAGATGAAGGGGAGGTAGCAAAATGTTCAGTACAAAGGTATTAAACTTGGTCTAGGGGATATCTTTTTCTACAGTTTTCTTGTGCGCAGAGCTGCAATGTATGACCTTATGACTGTGTATGCCTGTTATCTTGCCATTATTTTGGGGCTCAGAGTGCACTCTTATTTTTTGGTCAGTGTACCATCGAGCTTTGCCAGCTTTGCCCATATCTATCATCATCTTGGGTGTCGTGTTTTACTTCTCTACTTGGTTATTAATGGAGCCTTTTGTTATTGGAACAGCTACAACTTGTTGATATTTTGATAGTCCATTTTTTTTTGGTAAGAGAGATTATTTATTTAAGAGGAAGCTGATGTCCTAGCTATTTTCTGTTGCTACTGCATTCTCTATCAAATGGGTTTCCAAATTATAAGTTCATCGATAATGTCTATTGGTTTGTAATGGTGGATCAGAGTATATAAAAAAGGATTTGGTTGTCTAAAATTTGTATTGAACAAAATTAATATTGTTCATTGTCTTAAAAGATTTGGTTTGTCTAAATTTTTTTGGGATCTTTTATCCTTTTAAATTCCGCCCCTCCCCTCGATAATTCCCGGCTTCGCCACTGCTTCACATTGCAACCGAATTGCGAATCCTTCCCCTTCATTGCCTTAACAATGCGAATCCTTCCCCTCCGCTTCGTTCCAGGCTTCCAATTTCGTGCTTTAATTTGAATGGTTTCTCTTTCATTTTATTTTTGTAATCGAGTATGTTTAGTTCATTGGTTGAAGAATTTGATATTTTGCCCTCCCTGCTTTGTTGAGTTTTGTAGTTTAAGAATGTTTTGTTTGAATTTTTTACAGGTACTTGCTCTGTCTCAACATCCTCTCTCTCCACTGCTTGTTTGGTGCCTATGAAGCTTGTTAGTTTTTTCTCAATACTTACATACATATGCACTCTTCATATATAAATGTTAAAGCTTGAATCTTGGGATTATTATTTATGGTTATTAGTATTTATATTTCTTTGTGCAGACATGTTTGAGCAAAGGTGGTGGTTACCATCTCCCACCCTGCCACATACTCAATATATGTGGTTTTACCATTTTAGTGGATTGCCCATTGGACCTTTCTGCTCTTACAATCTTCTCCCCTATTCCTTCTAGTTCAGAAGCTAGTCACTTGGATAAAGAGAGTCCCAATTCCCTAAACTATAGTGATTTGTTAGATTTGGAGGAGCCCTTGTTTCGGAAGAGACAAAAAGTCGAAAAGTCCCTGGATGCTGATGATTTGATTTGCGCAGTCCCCTGGTACAAAACTGTCAAAAACTTACACCTATGGAATGCCTCTTTTTATTGATGCGGTATTGATATCGAGTCCGATGGGTATGTTAGGATTACCATTTATTACTCGGATGAAGGGATTTTCTGCTAAGGTATAATGTAATTTAAGATAAGATAATATAATGTCCTACTGTCATTTTGGTGTTTTAAGGAATTTGTTTATAAACTTCAATTTGTAAGTATTTTCATGGAGTTGGATCTGATTTCTTAGCTTTGTTGATTCTTAAAACGTGTCAGATATATGTGACTGAAGCAACAGCAAGACTTGGGCAACTTATGATGGAGGATCTTGTTTCGATGCATATGGAAATCAGGCAGTTGTTTGGACCTGAGGAGTCATCTTTTCCTCGGTGGATGAAGTGGGAAGTGCTTAAGCTTCTTCCGTCTTCGTTGAGACGGCTGGTATTAGGCAAAGATGGGGGTGAGCTGGGTGGTTGGATGCCCTTGTACAGGTACTTAATACTGTATCCAAATAGTTAATGTTGATTGTTTCAAAATTAAATTTTCTTGGTTGAATATGCCAACTGCCTACCCGTGTTGTACATATACATGTTTTAAGTCAGTCTGTATAACCTCGCTGTAATTTTGTGTTCTGGAATTGTAAACGATAAGGTGATGGAGAAGAAGCTAATTTCTTTGACGATTTCCCAACTAAATTTATGAAATATTTTTAGGATGTAGATTGTGGAAATATTATCTTGTCTGACAATTTGACATTTTATGTTACTAGACTTTAGTCTGAACCATTTATCAGGTGGTGTATTGTTCTTTGGAATCATGTGTTCGAGTTGACAATTTTAATTTAACAGTCTGACAAGACCATTGCCCCTCATATTGATATACTTAGTTGTCTGTTACCCCTCAAATTATCTGGAATTTCTGTGTAGCAAGTTTCTGTGTGTAAGAATGTAATGAAGAGTTCTTCTCAGTGCAGCTGATGTGAAGGACTGCATGCAGAAGTTTCTAAGAGTTAAATATGCAGAGGAAACTTGCTACAACAGCACATTGATATTAAAGGCATTCAGTTCGGGATTAGAAATAGGCTCTTGTAATTGGACGATAAAGAGTCCCAAGGGGAGTGTTGGATTTATTTCAAGTTCCATCTTTGATTCTGCTCATGCAATGAATTTTGATTACCATGATCTTCAAGGGAATGATATGATGATATATTCAGATTTCTCATTCTTGGATGCTGCGGAACATGTTGAGAGTGACTTCGATAATGCAAGTGATTGTCAAGAGTTAGCCAAGTCTTTACTTAATATTGATGACAGTTTGGAGGAAAGGGACAAGCTAACTTTTATATGCTCCTGTGTAATTGACTCTGTAAAAGCTGGAGGCTCAGTCCTTATTCCTATTAGTCGACTTGGGATTATTCTGCAGCTGTTGGAACAGATATCATCTTCACTAGATGTTCTGAATTTGAAGGTAACGTTTTTGTCTTTTACAAGCTTCCTTGCCAAATCCACATATTAGTTATGTTAAATCACATTAAAAACTGAGATTAGGTGTGTTAGCTCTTCAGTTTTCAAAAAAACATTAGTTTCGGAACTACACTCCATGTCTAAAACTTATTCCTATGCAAATTGGGTGTCATTGATATGGCTTTTGTTTTACTTCCTGTATATGTATTGCTGTCATTCTATGCATCTATCACATGGATAATTTGCATGCTCTGTGCTAGTGTGGTTTATGTGAATAGAAACAAACTTGGAAACTAGATTTCAACATATGTGACTTGATTGTTTTTGCATGCAATTTATTGCTTGATTATCTTTGCTTGCCCAAGTTCTTGATTCAAGAGTTTGATACTGGTGGGTATTTTGTATATCTGTGATCATAAACTGGAACCATTGCAAAGTAGGGATGACTTTACACTTTACTGAGTTGCATTACTGCTTTACGTACTATCAGCAGTATCAAAGTTAACTAATTGCTTTGTGTCAAAGATGTATAATTAACAGGGTTCTTTAAAAATGAAATAGAGATATGACGAATACTTTCAATCATACTGAGACATAATACTTCATACTGAGATGTGACAAAATGCTGCATTGATAGTATTAGAAGTTTCATATATGGAAATGTTCGTCTGTTTCAGGTTCCTATGTATATTATTTCTTCTGTAGCTGAAGAACTATTGGCTTTCACCAACATCGTACCTGAATGGCTTTGCAAGGAACGGCAAGAAAAGGTAAATGTTGCGCTTTTTAACCTTTGCAATATGCTTGGAGCTTTCATTTAGTTTTTTTGAATTGCCAGCTTAAGACATTGCAGTCACTCTTTGAACTGATCTTGCAGCTGTTTTGTGGTGAGCCATTGTTTGCACATGTCATGCTCATAAATGAGAAGAAGCTTCATGTGTTTCCGACAGTTCATTCACCTAAATTATTGTGAGTTTCACATTTGTCTCTCTTTTTTTTTAGAATATTTCTCCATGGTCATTGATGGGGAAGCCAATATTCTGAACTTATTTACCTTAGCTTCAATGATTTTACTTGGTCCCCCAGGGCTTTTGACTTCTTAAATGAAATCACGTTAGATTAATTCCTTCGCTAATTTTATCAATTTTTATTTCTTTGAGCCAGCTTTCACTTCAAATAGGTGGAGAAACTTTGAAATGAAACTGGAGTTGTTTTCCTTCCTTCTCTATCACATTCAATACTAATATGGAATATTGTATAGTATATTATTATTCTTTTCTTTTTTGCATCGTAAGTCAAACATGGGGAAACTACCCGCTGTAGATGGTCCAAAGGTTATTACTCTCACCTACTATGAAATTTGACGTGATTAAAAGGGTAAAGGGAATGGAAGGTATCAGTATATTTTCTATGATCTCTCCTTTTGAAATTAAAAAAGTGACATTTGTGATAGGATGAATTGGCAGGAACCATGCATAGTTTTCTCTCCTCACTGGAATCTGCGGCTTGGTCCTGCTGTTCATTTGCTCCGGCGCTGGTGTGGGGATCAGAACTCCTTGCTCATTCTTGAGGTGCTGCTATATATTTTCACTGACAATTGAAGTGTCATATCAAATGTGCATAAACTGTTTTAAGCAATTTCTCATAAAAATGGAAATAAATGTTAAGAATTTTCACCGTATGCAACTATATGCTTAAATTGTTACTGCTCGATTTGCAGAGTGGACCGGATGTTGAGCTGTCTCTCTTACCGTTCAAGCCAATGGAAATGAAGGTTCTTCAATGCTCTTTCCTCTCTGGGATAAGGTAGGGTTTCTCTTCCTTTTGAAACTGACACGAATCTTGATTGATACATAATTTCATATTGCAACTTGACATCTTATTTCTTAATGAAAAAAAAAAAAACCCCCTTAGAGCAACTTGTTAAACAAGGTACACAAACTTATATCGGGATATATGCGTTTTGTAGGTTGCAGAAAGTTGAAGCGTTGCTGAAGATATTGGAACCAAAAGTTGTTCTGGTACTTGCATGTCTTTATGCATTGTAGATTTTCATTTTCTTGATGTATGAGATTTCATCTCTTTAATAAGTCCTCTGTTTATTTTCTGCTCAAG